GGGCTCCTTTCTCTGGGAGTGGGAGAACATAGCGGACTACCACTAACCCATGGTGGTCAGACAGAAGGGAAGCAGTGCAGAATTTTACTCTTTGGAAATCTTAGGAAAGATTCTATTTCAGTTTGTACACAGGAATGAGTGGAAGGAAACTTGCCATTTGTTGGCAACTCCATTCCTGTGGACATGGGTGAATTTTTTAAAGGCAGGTGAATAATGTATGAATTTTTTCTGAATGAAAGCCAAGGTTTTCAAAGCTCCACAGCAAATGAACCCTTCATTGTGCATACCTCCTGTCTGAGAGGCACTTCACTCTGAATAAGTCTCAGGGTAAATCTCCATTCACTGACTGGATAAGAATAGCTTGTAAAATTAGATTACTGATGTAAACATTTACAATCACAAATTTAAAATGTGCTACAAAGATTCATGGGGAAAGTTAAATCTCAATTTTGCTGTATATTATATTACACATGATGTTATGCACAGATGATAAATCACTCTCTTAGTATTATAATGTATTATAGTTTATTTCCTAGTATAGTTACTAGGAAAAAAATATCTCAGACGATTTATTCTTGTTTTAAAATGTCCTGATAATATGGGATGAAATATGTAGAGGAAACAGTAATGAACATTTCTACAATCATTACCAAAATTATCTACCAATTTCCTGCTCTTTCTCCTTATCTTTTTTTGATTTAACACCAAAATTTCATGTAATCTATTCTCCCACATAAGAGAAATGTTTCTTTTCCCATTGTTGCCCACAAGCTTCTCCTTCTAATATCAGAATATATACCTCTAGTAAATGGCATTTGAATGTTAGCTACAAGATTACCATTCCTATTTCATGTTTCTAATGTTTGCATCCATGTTAGCTCTGTCTTAATTTTACTTCATTGGCCAGTTCTACTTAATGCCATTGTCCTCTGCTGTACATGGCAAAAACAGCAATATATTGCAGGTTCTTTCACTCATAATGATCAAAATGAACTGATAGAAAAAGAGACTGTAGGGATCTGTGCAGCTTCTCACTTAATATCTGTCAAAAGTGTTTCTGCAAAATGCTTCCTAGGTCTCTCAAAATCATTCATGGTACAGTGATTTTACAAATAGAATCCAAGTAAAAAGCTCGTAAAACTCACAACTTGCCCTCACCAATATTTTATGTTTAAAGCGTAGAGCTCACGAAGAACCAATATTAAGAAAATTGCCTGAAAACAAACCTCCGGGACATCTTCTCTGAATGTCAGACATACGGAGAAAGATCTTTGTGAAGTTTTAAAAGGATTATTTTTCATAACAAGCTTTCTGCTGTTGGGTGAGGACAAACTGGATGTGTGAAAGGTTATAGGAATACTCTGTTTTAAAGGTGGATACCTGAAAGGTGGATAACCGTTGCCAGGATGTTCCAAGAGCATGGTAAATGAACATTTTTTTCTAACACAGGCATAATTTTATGGAAATATTAAAAATACTATCTGAGACAGACACTAAGTGCAGTCATTAGCTACAGAAACATGATTCAGAATTGACCTGTAGGATTTAAGGCGGGCAGTTCAGTTCTCTGAAAATGTCAGTGAGTTGGTGATGTTTAAAATAAGAAATGATGTTAGGTGTTTTCTAGAACAGCAACAGGAAGGCCAGAATCATAGAATCATAGAATAGTTAGGGTTGGAAAGATCATCTAGTTCCAACCCCCCTGCCATGGGCCCGGACACCTCACACTATACCATGCCACCCAAGGCTCTGTCCAATCTGGCCTTGAATATGGCCAGGGATGGAGCATTCACAGACTTCCCTGGGCACCCATTCCAGTGTGCCTCACCACCCTTACAGTAAAGGACTTCCAACCTTACATCCAATATAAACTTCTCATGTTTTAAGTTTTAACCTGTTACCTCTTGTCCTATCACTACAGTCTCTAATGAAGAGTCCATCCCCAGCATCCCTATAGGCCCCCCCTTCAGATACTGGAAGGCTGCTATGAGGTCTCCATGCAGCCTTCTCTTCTCCAGGCTGAACAGCCCCAACTTCCTCAGCCTGTCTTCATACAGGAGGTGCTCCAGTCCCCTCATCATCCTCGTGGCCCTCCTCTGGACTTGTTCCAACAGTTCCATCTCCTTTTCATGTTGAGAACACCAGAATTGCATACAATACTCCAAGTGAGGTGTCACGAGAGCAGAGTAGAGGGGCAGGACCACCTCCTTCGACCTGCTGGTCACAGTCCTTTTGATGCAGCCCAGGATACGGTTGGCTTTCTGGGCAGCGAGCACACTGCCGGCTCATGTTCATTTTCTCATCAACCAACACCCCCAAGTCCTTCTCCTCAGGGCTACTCTGAGTCTCTTCTCTGCCCAACCTGCAGCTGTGCCTGGGATTGCTCTGACCCAGGTGTAGGACCTTGCACTTGGCATGGTTAAACTTCATGAGGTTGGCATCTGCCCACGTCACAAGCGTGTCAAGGTCCCTCTGGATGGCATTCCTTCCCTCCAGCGTTATCAACCGAACCACACAGCTTGGTGTCATCGACAAACTTGTTGAGGGCGCACTCAATCCCACTGTACATGTCACCAACAAAGATGTTGAACAAGGCCGGTCCCAACACCGATCCCTGAAGGACACCACTCATTACTGGTCTCCAGCTGGACACTGAGCCATTGACCACAACTCTTTGTGTGCGGCCATCCAGGCACTTCTTTATCCACCAAGTGGTCCATCCATCAAATTGATGTCTCTCCAATTTAGAGACAAGGATGTCTTGTGGAACACTGTCAAATGCTTTGAACAAGTCCAGGTAGATGATACCAAGTGCTCTACCCCTGTCCATCAGTTCTGTAGCTCCATCATAGGAGGCCACCAAATTGGTCAGGCAGGATTTTCCCTTAGTGAAGCCATACTGGCTGTCACCAAGCACCTTGTTGTTTTTCATGTGCCTTAGCATGCCTTCCAGGAGAATCTGCTCCAAGATTTTGCCAGGCACAGAGGTGAGACTGACTGGTCTGTAATTCCCTGGGTCATTCATTCATCCCTTCTTGAAAATGGGGGTTACATTTTTTTTCCAGTTGTCAGGAACTTCACCTGACTGACATGATTTTTCAAATATGATGGACAGTGGCTCAGCAACTTCATTCACCAGCTCCTTCAGGACCCGCAGATGGATTTCATCAGGTCCCATGGACTTGCGCACATTCATGTTCTTAAGATGGTTTTGAACCAGATCCTCTCCTACAGTGCACCTAGGGTCTTCATTCTCACAGTCCCTGCATCTGCCTTCCAAGACTTGGGTGGTGTGGTCAGAGACTTTGCCAGTGAAGATTGAAGCAAAGAAGTCATTCAGAACCTCAGCCTTCTCCCAAATCCAGGGTAGCCAGTTCTCCTGATAGCTTACGGAGGGGGCCCACGTTTTCCCTAGTCTGTCTTTTATTTGCAATGTACCCATAGAATCCCTTCCTGTTACCGTTAACATCCCTAGCCAAGTTTAAGTCTAACTGGGCCTTAGCTTTCCTAACGTGGTCCCTAGCTTCCTGGGCAACATCCCTGTATTCTTCCCAGGCCACCTGCCCTTGCTTCCACCTTTTATAAGCCTCTTTTTCATTTGAATTTTCCTCAGGAGCTCCTTATCCACCCAAGGAGGTCTCCTGGCCCTCCTGCTGCACTTCCTTCTAGTTGGGATGCAACACTCCTGAGCTTGTAACAGGTGATCCTTGAATATCAACCAAGAGTCTTGGGCCCCCCTGCCCTCTACGGCTATATCCCATGGAACCTTCTGAAGCAGGTTCCTGAAGAGGCCAAAGTCTGCTGTCTTGAAGTCCAGGGCAGTGAGCTTGCTGCATGCTCTTGTCACTGTCCTGAGGATCTTGAACTTGACCATCTCATGATCGCTGCATCCAAGGCTGCCCTGGAGCGTCACATTTCCAACAAGCCCTTCCCTGTTGGTGAGCACAAGGTCAAGCATGGCACCTCTCCTTGTCGGCTCCTCTATTCCTTGCAGAAGGAAGTTGTCTTCCACACAATCGAGGAACCTCCTGGATTGCTTGTACCTGGCTGTACCATCTCTCCAACAGATGTCAGGGGGGTTGATGTCCCCCATAAGAACAAAGGCCTGCGAGCATGAGGCTGTTCCTCAGAAATGCTTACATAAATACTAGAAATGCTCTCATGCTAAGCAGCATACAGTACCTTCCATCTAAGAACTAACTTGGATCATTCAGCTTGAAAAATTACTTAAGATGATACAAGTCAAAATCTATGAGAGAATGCAAAGGTGAGCAGAGCACCGTTTTCCCTTGGTACTGCCGAAACAGCAGGCGTAGCAAGGATTCAACAGAGCTTTGAGTGAGCATGTTTGAAACAACTGAGAAGTATTTTTGCACATAATCTTGTCATTGCATGATACTGTCAATGCCATAAATGAGAAATAAAATAAAGGCTTTTAAAAATGTGGCCAGGCACATTTGTCGAGTACACATCCACCTGCAAATATGAAATACCACACATCCAGTGTCAGAGTTATTAACCTGCTATGGCATTTGGCAGAAACTGGCAGGCCTGGACTGCCTTGGGGACTTACTTACGTCTGTTTTTTTTTATGTTATTTCCCAGAGCAACATGTTGGTACACCTGCAGCTTTGCACCAATGGCTCCTAAGCCTGCTTCTGCTCTGCATGTCCTAGGGCCCCCAACAGTTCACTGAGAAACCTCTCTGAAGTCACTTGGTTAAGACTCGGCTGACCCTCACCAGCTTTCAGGAGCGCAGCCACCAGAAGGGATCTCGGCTGGGGAGCTAAGGGGTCCACCAAGCAAACCACAGTCCAGCCGCCGCCCAGCTCCCTCAGGCGGAGCGGACCTAAGGGCCGCACCACTGCGGCCGTGCGGAGGCTGTTCGAAGAGACGCGACAGGCCGCACTCGCTCTAACATCCACCTCCTCGGTCCTCGGTCCTCGCTCCGCCTCATTGTAGGCCCCTGCCGGAAGTGGGGAATGAGAAGAGGGGAGGGGCGGAGCGGAGTAGGGCGGCACTCCGGGAGGCTCGGTTGTCGCCATTTTGTTAGCGGCGGGCTGCGGGGGAGCGCGGGAGTAGCGGCCGGCGAGACGAGGCGGGAAGGGCCGGGGCTCGTCCGGCTCCTCCCCTGCTGGGGTGTAGAGGCGGAGACTGAGTGCGGCCGACCCGGGCCGGTAGGGGCGGCGGCAGAAGCGAGGCTGAGTAGAGCGGAGCCGAGCTGGGCCCGGCTATGTCGGCGTTCTCAGAAGCGGCGCTGGAGCGAAAGCTGTCGGAGCTGAGCAACTCGCAGCAGAGCGTGCAGACCCTGAGCCTGTGGCTCATCCACCACCGCAAGCACTCGGCGCTCATCGTCAGCGTGTGGGAGCGGGAGCTGCGCAAAGGTGAGCCTGGCACTGGCGCAGTCACCCTGCTGGGCCTTTCTCCGCCCTTGGGTGCCGGGTGCGGCCTTCCTCGGGGGCAGCGGGTTTGGGGGGCGGTGCGGCGGGAGGAGGCCACTCTCAAGTGTGCGGCTGCTGCGGCAGGGCTCCTCGGTCTGTCGAGATGGGGAGGAGGGAGGGCCTGCACGCCCCAGTAACTGGGGAAAGCGGAGCTACTGGGGCAAATGTTGAGCCCCGCGTCTCAGTTTCTTCGTGACTGGGGGATGGGAGGTGCTTCTCCTCCCTCTTTTTTCTCCGCTCCCCTGGCTTGTTTTCTCCCTCCCATTCCGCCTTCAGTGAGATGCTTCTGAGGAGGCCGCTTCTGGTGTTTTACTCCTTTTTTTTTTTTTCTTTTTAATGGAAAGTGGGAAAAGGGAAGGAAGGAGGCAAGCACAGGGCTTAAGGCTTTTTGTTTTAGTACTGGTAGTTACGGCTTTTCAAGATCACCCTTCTTAGGCCTTGTATTTCGTCATCTGTAATGATGGTTAGCTGTAATACCGCTTGAGTTTCCTGACACGGTGGGCTTTGTCCACTTATGCCAGCGACTGTTCTTGTAGGGCAGCTGAGGATGGGAATATTCTGGGGAAAAAACAATTTAGTATGTCCAAAGTGAGTTTTACTTCCTGTTTTTGCCAGATGGTTAATACAAATGTTAGCATAACAGAAATGTGTATTTTTTAAGCTGTATTGAGTATCTGATGTTGAGTGTGCAGATCTAGATTCTTATTTGGCTTTCATTTTAATAGGAAAGAACTTGCAGCTATAGGTTTAGGGACTGAAAGGCAGAAATGGCATGTGAAAGTTTATTTGACCTGACTGGAAAATTATATGATCTTCAGTTGTCTCATCTAAGAAAAAGAAGTCTCTTGCTAGAATTCTGCTTTGCTCTAGGAAGTGTTATGGTTTTACGGTAGTTTCCTTTGGAGCTCCATTAATATGTGGCTCTTTAACAGGGAAAGTAGAAGGCTAGGTTTTCAAGTGGAGAGGAAAAACAGGACTAAGCTGTTACAGGACTTAAGAAAGAGGAACCACTCAGTCTCTCAAAACTAGGAGGAATAGCTGACTATTATATGTAATGGAATACAAGGAGTGCATGGCTGGATCACAGTGATCTCTTGGTTAGGAGGCATAACATCATAGTAGATGAGCTACCCTTAAATATCTTGCATATGAAGTAATAATAAACTGTACAATATAATATGGAGAGATGTTCCCATGAACTCTGTAGGTTTTCATGTGGGTCATTTTCACTATGTTTGTTGCAAGCATGCTTTTTTGTTCTGAGAACATCTGCATCTGAAACATTTTACGTTTCTGGGCCTTCTAAACAGCCAGCTCGAATGTTTGGTGTTTTGGATGATATCAGAAAGGTATCTTAAGCTAATTGGAACAAAGCCAGAGTTTTGGTTGCTCACCTTAATTAAAATGCACAATACCAGTTTATAATAATCTGTAACACTAATGGTCAGTCCTTAACTTCAATATTAGCTTAATTTGCCTGTTGTGCTGTTTGACTAATTGGAAAAATGAAATGTTTGAAACTTAAACAGGGATTTAATGAGGTTAGATATGAGGAAGAAGCTCTTTACTGTGAGGGTGGTGAAGCACTGGAACAGGTTGCCCAAATAAGTGGTAAATGCTCCATCCCTGGCAGTGTTTAAGGCCAGGTTTGGACAGGGCCCTTGGTGACATGGTCTAGTGGAATGTGTCTATGCCTGTTGCAAGTGTGTTGGAACTAGATGGTCTTTCCAACCCTAACCATTCTATGATTCTATGAAATATGGCATACATGTTCTAAGGTGGCTTTGAGTGGTAAGGGTAACAATCTTCTTAAGAACTCATGGGAATGCTTTGCTTTCTGCCAGCTTTCAATGTCTGGCTTCACTTTTAAGCCTGTTTTGAGCTTTGGATGAGTATAGCTGCTATAATTATTTTCCTCTTCAGTTTGTTGAAGTTGTTATCCAGCCTTTGCTTCTTCAGAGTAAGATTTTTCTAGTGACCGCTTTGGAAGCCAGCCTTCAAGGGTGTGTAGAAGCCGTTGATACTCTGTGTCAGGTAGGAGCAGCTTAGGTGATTTCAGGGTTCTGCACCTTTCCTTCTGTGCTTTTAAGCCTAGTGCTTTTTTCCTATGTTCCTCTTCCACTGCATTTTGAAGCTGGCATAGTTAATATACACAGGGTATGTTTTGATTTTCCATCTCTGATAAATAGTACCTGAGCTTTATAAATGTTAGCTTACATTGGCCCAGTACTAACTTTTTGCTAATTGCAGCATATAATTGTAATGTGGTTCCTATTCCCCAAAGGGGTTGATTTAGTGTTCTAAGCAGTCAGCATGTGGAAAATGAGAGGGAAAACCAGTATGCTGTGGTGAAGTGACTTGCATAAAACATCACAAAGTAGAATGCTGGCAATAAGGTCATAGAGTAAGTTTTAAGGTTTCTGACTTGCCCACCAGCCAAATCATAGAGACATGATTTTCCTCCTACATGAGAGAAAAATTATCTCTGGGGAATATGGACATAAAAATTATTGGCACTGTCTGCTGCTATTGCTAGTCAGTACTGTCTTAAAACTGAAAATGAACTTTGCCGTTCCAAATTTTATTTCCTTTCATTGTATTCATTTTTCATTGTCACCCCTGTCTCCAGACCTTCCTTCCAGCCTACTCTCTTTTGGGCTCATGGAATATTGTATAATCAAGTTGAACACAGTACAGTGTGATACTGCATTTTCTCTGGCTAAATAAAAAGATCACTTGCATCAGATCAGCTTGCATGAACCTTTTTGAAGACATCTTTAGTTATTCATGAGAACAAGTACTAGGATCACAGCTCTTTTGTTCCTACATATTTGGTTCTGATTCTTTAATTTTTAAAATAGTCATTGTCTTTGTATTATGTTAGAGGTGAAGAGGCAGCTTTTCAAATGCGAGTATAACTTGGGCAGCATAAAATTTTAGTCCCTTCCTGTTTACTTGGATTAATTGATTGTGTTCAGGGCCAATGTTAGGGCACTGTACAAATAATCTGTTTCATAAACCTTCATCTGCAGTTGAACTTTCACTGATTTTCTTGGTGATCTCTTGCATTTAGGTGTAAACTTGGAGAACAGTCAGAGCTTGCCCATCTTTGTCATAACGTGGAGTGGTTACACTGGATTTGTCTCGCTGAATTCCAGTGTTGCTAAGGTTGCATCAATAGAGTTGATGTAACTCTGATTATTGAAGGAGCATGCATATATGCTTTTCCCCTAATACTACCATAACTTTAATATGTAGTTCCTAAAGTACTGGCATGTAGAATTCATAGGGTCATTCTTAGAAAGAATAAAAAAATGGAGGAAAGCTAGTGTAATGTATTCTAGAATTGATGGTATTGTGAAAGTACTCTTCAGATAGCTCTGAATTGGCCAGATGCACAAATATATAAGGAAAGGATGTCATCTTATATAGCCAACAGTTTGATGAAATTAGATCAGGAGTTGCAGATTATATGCTTCAAGAGACTGAGTATAGGGACATTCTGTTTGATGACTGACCCCAGATACGTGCTAATGAAAAATGCATGGGTGAATGGTGCCACAAGGGTGGGGCTGTGGCAGAGCTTGTGGTATTAAGTATTCCTAATTATGCATCTGTGCAAAACCAATCAGGTGTAACTGAAGATACTCCACATTTTAGTGTATATAGTGGTGGATTTTCTTTTCCCCACCATCTTTTATTGTGATTGATAGAGAATAGATTGTCATTCATTGATCTTTCGTTCACTGATGAGTAAAATGATGAGAAAAGTAGAATTTAACTTAAATTACAACTGTAATGAAATAACAAAGATTTCTCCTGTTTTGACAGATAAACAGAGGTCTCCAATGACAACAGAACAGCTCCTTTTCCAGTCTGCTGTTGGTTAGCTATGTCTTAAAATATTTCTGATGCTTTTTTTTGCTGACAGTATCTTGTGCTGTGCTGCTGATGAAAACCCAATAATTAGTTTGAAATAGATGAGTTTCCTGATGGAAAGCTGGTGTTGGCAGAAAGGAGACTGTGAGGATAGTATCTCGCCTGTAGACTGCAGCCTGTATTAGCACTGGCTTATGCTAATCATTAGTTTGTGTTCTTTTGAATTTCATGGTTGACTTATGGAATAAATAAATTGGTGGGGAGGGTATTCTTCATTTGTAGTAAATGTCTTATTAAAATGAGATTATCATGCCGTTTGGATTTTTATTCTAGGAAAGTATTTTTTTCTCGTGATATGTCACCTTCATGATTGCTTCAAAGTAACTGTTGTGAATTAAGTTCTGTGATAATGTTGCTCCATAGCCTGGTTACAGAGACTTTTGAGTTAAAGTTAGGGAAAGCTTAGCAAGGCTTGAAAAGTGTGCGCTGAGGAAAAAGATCCTGTTCCAGCTAGATTTCAGATATAGGAAATGTAACACTTGAAGTTAAATAGTTACACACTTGCTAGTTGTAAGCTTACTCAGTATTTAATTACTTAAGTAGTACTAATTAATTAACTGTAATGTAAATACATTAGTCATTCCCAAAATGCAACTAGTGGACCTGTTAAAACTGTTTAATTTTGTGTGTCTATAAAAGGGCTGACTTAAAGGGTTGATTTGTTTGTTGTTGGGTTTTTTTTGTTTTGTTTTGTTTTTTTAACTAAGTAGTGGCATGACACATGCAATTTTGTTTTGTAAGCCTGCAGCCACTGAGGAAACCCTTAGGAGCTAGCCCCCTTGAAGAGGCTTTTCTGAGATGAAGACTGTTAAGACATATTCTTTTTAGAACGGATGTTCTGTTGCATACATCTCTTAACCTCTGGTTTCAGGATACCCTGCAGCTGTAGGGGTTTGTTGTTTGTGTGCTTTGAAATTTAAAATTTCAATTCCATAATTCAAAGCATCAACCTTCAAGGATGAATAGTAGGTGCTTGTTCAGTAGTCTTCATGTGGTATTTGCTG